TTAAAATTCTCTTTGTATATATTTTTTATGACTGCATCTCTCCTCCAAAGTGATAAAATGGGTGTAAAAATATAACGATGCTTCTAAAACTTTTAATAGATGTTGTATTAAAACGATAATATTTGAAGCTATTGAGCTTACTGTACTAAAGTTATTTTATTGATATATGTATATATATATTTAATCTTCAATAATTCAAATGCCTTGATAAAAGATTTTCTACTTTATTTACTTTAAATAAATTTAGAAATATTTCAAAAAGATAAATGAATTATTGCATGAAGAGTTTGCATAATAGATTTCTTAAATTCGCATAAATTATTTTCTTTAATTGATTTTACTGATATGTTGTAAATAATTTGTCGGATTTATGGTATAAATAAAAAAAATTTTTTTCTCTATCTGTTCCTCCTCCAACAATAATTTATTATTTATTGCATACTTGGTAAGATGAAAAAAGATATTCTAGGCGGTTTTAAATATTTTTTTTTTGTTTCACAATTAAGAAGTTTGTCAGATGCATTTAAAAAATCTTTTTTAACGCAAAAATATACTAAAAACACAGTCATTAATAATTACTGCAGAAAATGTCTATTTGATAAACAACAGTTGTGCCAGAGTATTTGCTGATGTAGTAGGAGTGAAGCTACTAGTAATATTTCACAATTATAATGATCATTAATAATAAATAATATTCTACTATATACGGACACATATTTAAAAAGTAGATTGAAGCAATTATTAATTGACAAAGACGCATACGGAGTAGAGTAGTTTTATGTAAGAACAAAATTATACTCCGATAGATTGTTAGCATCAGTTAAATATGTTATGTTAGTTCCCGCATCCATAAATTGTCGTATATTTATAAAGAGAAAAACCAAAAATCCGGCAAGACATATTTTTCTCGCCCTAAAAATATGCAATGAAAATAAGAATTCATTTATGTGGACATAGTAAATATATTTTTCAAAAAAGTCGATGAGGAGGATGAGGAAAAACAAATTTTTAATATAATAAAAAAAGGCATTGCTACAACATATATGAACAGAACTCTTAGTAATTCATAAAAAATGTATTTTAAAAATTAATTTACTGCAAATAAACACAATAAATAATATATGTACGTATAAATATTTACATAACATTTTATATTGCTCATTTCACGCTTCACAATTTTATTTATTATATGTTTTCATAAACATATATATAACATAAATTTTAATTTTAATTTTAATTTTAATTTTTATTATTTCCTTTTTATGCGGAGCTACGGAAATATTATTTCATAAATGTATTGAAACAGCAGAAGATAATAATTGACTTATCTATTCATTATATTTATCTTTTCAGATTTAATGACAAAGAACTGTGTAGTTAATGTTAAAAATGAAATCCTTTTCACTGTATAAAGTTTGATAAACGGAATAACTGATTTGCATAATTAATTAATGATCAAAGCCATACATTTTCTGATTTTAATTTCAACATAGACCAAAACAGAACTTTAAGTATGTGTGAAAAAAATGTATTCACGAAATACATTAAAGGACTTTATGTAATATAAAATTCACTTATTTTTGTATAATGAATGTCAAAAATGAGTTTTGCAATGCAATTACGCTTTATAGTTGATGTGATATTTACATATTTAATACTTTGTGTTTATATTTATATGTAAAAAAATATTTCATTATTTTTAAGCAAATGTGAATTATTCCCGTCAAGGACATGAAAATTCTATTTACTTAATGCACACAAAAAAATTTTTTTTAATTCAAACAACGCTACAGAATGCGTTTATCTTTATGCAAATATGATAACGTATTATTCGAACAGTTGCTAAAAAAATATTTAATACGTTGAATAAAAAAGAATAGAATACCTTAGCGGATATACTGAATTTTTAATTTAGAAGAGAATAGTAGCTGAATTCAATAGTTTTTAAATATCGTTTTAATATATTAACGTAAGGCAACAGCCATAAATCATCTCATGACTTAGTTGTCATAAATAGTAGAAAATGTAGTATTCGATTCACTAAGATTAGGATTTTTTAAAAATATTTAAATTTTAAATTTTTTGGAGAAATATCACCCTTGAGAGAAGAGTTTTTTTGTTTAGCGTTTTTCAGATATTCGAATTTGTTTTTAGCTATAAAAAGTCATGCGATAGATTCATCACTTTTATTGAATATTGGATGGAAATACAGACATTGCAATACATATACTACTTATAATACATGTATTTTTTGGAATGGAGATTCCAAATTAAAGAAATTACTTCGATACCTTTATTTGGTAACATTAATGCAGTGAAAGTTTAGCTTATTAAATTAAATACATAGAAGATGCAATAGATTAATAGAACAAGTTAAAAAAACTGACAACAAACTTACATAGAAGATGCAATAGATTAATAGAACATCGAATGCAGTGGAACACATCAACCCGCATGTAATTAAGTGGTTAAATAAAAAGCGAATATGAGACTAGTAAATTACTATAAGAGAATTGATAATGAGGTAGAAAGCATTGAATTTAATAAAAACTGCGGATTGTGAATACATATTTCTAATAAGTCAAAAATACTAAATTGATGATTTTATTATAAAAATTTAATTTGATTTATTAAAGCAAATTTTATTTGTTTATTAAATTAATCTTATATATACAATCGCTTATGCAGTTGCCAATGGCTATCATGCTTTTGCAATTAATCTTTAAATTCTGTCTTTTATAATTTATCGTTCTATATCTAAAATTTTTACCATAAAGTCCCGCAGACGGTACTGTAAAATTGAAATAAGTGAACTCTCGATTAATTGTAGTATTGAAGCCATTACCAATTTTTGTAAAAGGTTTAAATTTATATTATTTATAAATGATAAAACTTAAGTAACTGTAAAATGCCATTTCACATTTTAAATACGTTAAATACATATATATATAATCTTACAATGAAGTCGTATATTTATAATACACATAAACATACATTAAGACTGAAAAGTTTTCGGAAATTCTCATTTAAAATTCGCGCGCTGTATATTTTTCGATATTTTAAGTTTATGTAGTTTGGCAGCACTGTCCTTAATTACTATGCCAAAAATGAGCTCGATCTGTCAGACAGTTCGTTTACGGCAGCTGTTGAAACCAGTTCACCTCAGTAGTGCGTTGCGAAATGTCTTCGACGGTCGTACGACCGTCCTGGAAGGCTTTGTACCACTCATAAACTTGAGTTTTCGATAAAACTGATTCCCCATAAGCCTTTTGTAGCATTCGCAACGATTCTGCACACGAAATTTCGTTCGAAACACAAAATTTGATGCAAACTCTTTGTTCAATATTTTTTTCCATTGTTTTTTTCGCAACGCCCTACTGAGGTGAACTGGTTTCAACAGCTGCCGTAAACGAACTGTCTGACAGATCGCGCTCATTTTTGGCATAGTAATTAAGGACAGTGCTGCCAAACTACATAAACTTAAAATATCGAAAAATATACAGCGCGCGAATTTTAAATGAGAATTTCCGAAAACTTTTCGGTCTTAATGTATGTCGTGGCATAGGAAGAACCTTATTAATTTACTTTTAATTTTTCACAGAAATATACTATAGTACATATCTTTACTTTTGACTTAAAAAAAAAAAACTTGGTAAAGAACTTTCTGCACTTCCTTGTGTTTTGTGATTTTGTAAATCAACAGTATTCTAAGGAGTCCTCTTCCTTATAATAATGTGGTGGGTTTGCGTATACATAATACGAAAAGATGCTTACTATTTTCTTAAGTATTTGAAATAAAAGCGAAAAATGGTTTCTCATCGCCTTTGCGTTTCTAAAGTTTGTTGGCTTACTTTGAAGTGTTTTTTTTTTGTACTTGTGAATGTTGGTGCAACATCATTAATTTTAAACTAAGAAAAATTATTATATTTATAAAGGTTTTTGTTCATAAATTTTAAAACAAAAAAACAAAAGAAGAAGAATTATCATAAATAAAATAACTGCATAAAAGGAAAAACTTATAATTAAAGTATCTTTCACACCTCGATGTTTTTCTATTGCGTTAGTATGAATGCTTTTAATATGCAAAACACGTTTTGCTAACATCTGCATATTGAATATATATAATCACTCACAATAGATGTAAAATAAATTCTAGAAAGGTTATATAAAATAAATATATATATAAATATCATTTAAATTAAATACAACTTTTTCTTTTAATTTGGGTGCGCAAAGCAAACTGCTTAGCAATATAAAAAAAGACTGAATTCAAAGAAAAACTGCTTAAGTGAATAAAGTTGAAATTGTGCTAAAAGTCAACAAAATGTGAAAAGCAAAAAATGTAGCATAAGCTTAGGCGCTTTGCATAAAAAAGCAATTTCTTGTTTTGGCAAAGAGCACTTTGTCAACATGTTACGTTAAGAATCATAAAAGTACAAACTGTCACTCAACTTGGCTTAGTGCAAATGTATTTGGAAGTTTGGCGCACAGCTCAATGACGTGTAGCAGGATGCAAAGTGTTGGCAGTGACAGTTCTGTGCCATTCAAATGAAAACACAAAAACTTTGTATCTGAATGCAGAGGTGTGAATAACAATTTTAGAATCCAAAAGCAATACAGTTTTTTATATTGCAGTTAAACCTCTTAGGTATAGGACCTTTTTGCAATAAAAAAAAAGCCTGAGACATAAAAA